TCCTTGTTTTCCTTATGTCTCTCACTGGCCCCTTTCCCATGCCTTAAGTGGCAATAATTTGCTCTGATAAATGAAGAGCAGTTGGGATGCTCACTAAGTGCCTCATATTGTAACCTAGTTAGACAAATGGTACAAAATCATAGTTCATTTGCTGCTGTGTCTGTTGTGCATAACAAATTATCCCAGAACACAGTGGCCTAAGGAAACGTTTATTATGTCACAGAATTTCTACATCAGGAGTATCTTAGCAAGATCATTTTGGCTCAGGATCCCTCTGAGGTTGGAAACAAGCTGAAAGCTAGGATATCTTCTGATGAATGACTGGGACTACTGTAAAGGGCTGGCGCTCAAGGGGGCTCTATCCTTTGCCACCCTGGTCTCTCCTGACAGCCAGCTCCTCTCTGATCAAGTGACCTGAGAGACAGAGGAGAAAGTTACAGTATCTTTTCCTGCCTCAGTCTTTGAAATTACTCACCATCAAATCTATTCTCTTCTGTTCACTGTTAGTTACTCAGTGTTATGGTTTGAATATTTGTCTCACCACAAATATTCAACCTAATCCTGAAGGTGATAATGTTAGGAGGCAGAGCCTTTGGAAGGTAATTAAGTCACAAAGGTGGTGCTGTGAAGAACAGGGCCTCCATAAGAGGACTAAAAGGTTACTTAGCCATAACTCCATCTGAGAACACACCAAGAAGTTCCTTCTAGGAATAGGAAAGCAGTCATCACCAGACACTGTATCTACCAGCACTTGGATCTTGAATTTCTCCATCTCCAGAACTTAAAGAACTTTCTATTGTTTATGTTACCCAGTTTTTAAAAGAACTAAGACACCAAGTCTAGTCAACATTTGAGTAAAAGGATTTTAACCTTGAATTCTTGAACGCAATAGTATATGCAGCTGCATAGTTTTTCAAACTGTATGATTCTGTATTGGTCAGGGTTCTGGAAAGGAACAAACCAGTAGAATAAAAGATTACTTACAGGATCAGAGACTGGATAGCTGCATGTGGCCATTTTCATGCTGGAGACTTAGAGAAAATAACAGCTCCTCAGTCCAAGGAAGCCTCAGAACAAGAGGAGCCAAGATGCATCTCCAACCTGAGGCTGTAGGCCCAGAAGCCTCCTAGGGTGCGGTGACCTGTTGAAAGGCTGAAGACGCTGGGACATGAGGTCCACAGGTGATGGTAACATCGAAAAATGAAGTCCTTTAAGAAGAATCTGGCGTGCAGGCACTGGTGGACTTTCTCTTCCTCCTGCCTACCGGGCAGCGCCATCCACGTCCAGAACCAGTCTTCCCAGCTCAGTTCAGGGACCCACAGGCCAGTTACTTCGGGGAACACCTCCCAGACACACCCGGAAGGGTCTCTACTGATTTCCTAGGCATCTCTCAATTCAATTAAGTTGACCACTTTAACCCTCACAGACTCTTTGATTTAATTTTGTTTCTGGGACCCTATCCAAAAATATAAACAAAGTATAAACGAAATGCTGTATGAGCTAAGATATTTATGTGGTATTATACCATGAAACATCAGAAAATACCTAAGTAGCAAGACAACAATTTTTTAATATACTTGAAATACTGCTATAGAATGGAATATTGTATAACTATTATTATTCTGACACCTGTAGAGTAGCATGAAAAGTGGTGAAATATTTATGAGAACACAAAATTACGAGAACACTATATATATATGCATAGAGAGAGAGAGAGAGAGAGTAACTACAGTAAAACAAAACAGCAACAATGGTTGTACTAATTCTGGAAATTATAGGTAGTTTTTGTCTGTTTCCAAATTTTGTTATGTAGTTGTTATAATTCTGGGTTTTTTTTTTACCTTAAATGATTTAATCAAAGATAATGCTGTCTAAACAACGATTCAGTGGGCATATTTGTGTTTTTTCTATGTAGCAAAACACAATCTATACTAAAATCTAGTCTCTTATATATTAACAATGAAAGAGTCAGGTATTGGGGGGGAATAACACACTCAGAAATGGTAATTGAGAAAAATTTAATTAAAGGAAACCAACAAGGTATGACTGAACACCTGGAAAGTTGAGGTCAGCCCCAACTAAACATCCGGGGCTAAGGGGCAAAGGAAGACAGTGACTTCCTCACAAAAGCTAGATCTTCAGTGTCAGAGTAGGAGAGAAGGGACAAACACCCCTAGATTACTGTCTGGCCCTCTGATATTCTGCTTGTCTTCTATGGATTGAGCCAACCAGAATCAAGAGTGCAAGAGTCCTTTGTGATCCTTTGCAGAGGGGAGTTTTTCATGACACAAAAAAATGATACAATGGATCTGGAAGCAGGGATTTAAATTTTATTGTGGAGGGTTATTTAAAATAGCTGAAGGACTCTCTGCTTTGGTGAGATGATTCCAAGGCTGTTGCGTACAATTTATAGCTTTATACTAAAAACTGACATCAACAATGTTCGAAAAATATATGTTGGCATCAAAATATTCGTGTGTGTTGGCTGGTCCGATGGCAGTGGGTTATCAGAACTTATTAACATTAATGTCACTAAAGTTGGTATACCACCCCCCCACTGCTAAATTTGACTGGCTTTAAAAAAAAATATTCATGTGTGTGTGTGTGTTTAGATTTCACACTAGTTATGGACAATTTCACCTTTAGACACAGACAGCCTGAGCTTTAAGTCATGGTAATTCAAATTGATTCTGAATCTAGATGTACATAGTTCATCCTAGGTTTTATGTAACGACAGACAGTTTGCAAACCAGCAGGACATTTTTAATGTCGCACCAGTGAACCTCCCAATAAAATTACCCTCATTCCGACAAGCACTATAAAAATGGATATTTTCATTACCTGTACATACTATGAACCTTAATAGGTAAGTTTCTTGTTCAAATTCAGATTTTTCTATTGCAACTTCCCTGTGGAAAAACAAACTGTAATGCAGGGAGTTCAGTTGTATTTTTAAATATGCAGCCTGAAAGATGACTTTCAGGACAAATATGGTAAAATTTGGTCTTCTTCTCAATGTCAGAAAACAGATTTCATGTTCTTCCAAATGAGAGTGTTCTATTACATAATTGACACAAATATATTTTTTCTACATGAGGGAACATTTTGGTAAAAATAATGTCACCCACCACTGTCTATTTAAAATGGAATTTCTGTACCATTCTCTAGTCTAACAGTGGTTGTCTGGAAACTGATGCCGCCTTCCTAAGTCTCCCCTACATGGAAAGGTTTTGTTTGTCATACTGCCTTGGAAAGGGTTCTGTCATTTTTATACGTAAAGGGTCCAGAGATGCTGAATGAATTGTGGTGCTCAGAACACAATGAATAATTGTCATAATGTCTTACCTGAGAGTATCTTAGTCCCTAAGTGATTCTTCCACTTTTTCTAGGTTAGATCTTTTTTTTTTTTTTTTTTTTTTTTTTGTACAGGGATTAAACTCATGACCTCACTCTTGCCCGGCAGGCGCTTATGCTGCTGAGCTAAATCCCCAACCCTGGGTTAGACCTTTTATCCCAGTATACTTAATAAATTTGAGTATTTAATATTCTTCTAATACAATATACCATGAAGGCATAGGACAATTAATGATTTTTTCAAAGCAGCAGCTCTAACCATAAGTCACTCTGTTAAACCAAACCAAAGAAAAAGCACTCAAAAAAATAACCAAAGGATAAAGTCCCCCCAAAAAACTTAAGATGTAACCTAAGTTATCATCAGAATGGGACAGAAGCAGAAAGATAACCATTGCTACTTAATTCCATGTGTCTTTTATGCACCTGACTTTGAAGTTACTTACATTCTCAGGAAAATTATAGTTAGTGGCAGACGTGGCAACCAAAGACTTCATTCTTCCTAAATTGACTGTAAACCCTGTGGATTGTCGTGGCCCCTTCACCTCCCAGGCCCAATCCTGGATTTCCTTTCTGTGGACTCCAAAATTTATGCAATCTGCCTTTCTTGTCCTTCACATCCCTAACCACCTGGGCCTTTCAAAGAATCTAGGCTCCCTCTCCATCCTCCTTGTCATTGTGCCAGTTGAAGACTTTCTTTCCACTGTGCAGGAGATCCCACACTATGTCTTTTTCTGCCTGTTAACTTTACTTACCCCGGTGCTTTCAAAAGCATCTAACTTAAACTTAGCTTAGCTTTCTCCTGCTTAAAATTATTTGAAAATTTTCTAAAATGACTGTTGGTTAAAACCCAAACTCCTTTAAATGGCCAATAAAGCTTATTTGTCTTGTTTTAAAGAGATAACACCTAATTTTACTTTTACTGTTCACTAAGCTCCCTTACGTTGACTAGTTGTCTCTTTAATCTTGGATTATTTATGTTTCTTTTGCTTTGCTTTACATACAAGACACTGCTCTCTCAAAATAGTATTTCCCAGGCCCCCTTGCCATCTGCCTTGCAGGAACATCTGTGTTCTCGAACTCTGCCTCAAGCTATGTCTCCAGCAGTGACTGAATGACCTCCACAGTCCCCAGATTCCACAAGGTTCCCATCATCTTGAGCTTGCTAATACTTTCTTCCTTTCATTCATCTAGTCTTAGGGATGTTAGTGACCTCCTACAGTTGTTAATCTTATGTTTTTCTCACCTCACACCCTGGTTTTGCTTTTACTGTTCCAATACTTTTTAATTTTATTTTTTTATTAAATTTCTCCCACTGAAAGTCCTGGCTCTTGCTTTTCTGACTTGACCTTGACTGATACACTCCCTTTCCTTCAAGGAGAGAAGAAATTCCCTGCACAAGAAAACCATTCATTTCTCTACAATGAAAACTCCTGTTTGACCTTTAAGCTTTTGCATAAATTCTAATTTTCTCTGCAGGTTTTCCTGATTGTTTCAGGCATGCTAAGTCACTTCCCCTTTGTTACCAATGTACACTGTGCATTTATCTTATTATTGAAAGCATTTGCACATCAACCTACTTACTTGTCCACCAGCTCCTTGATGCTATAGACCTTGTGTTTTAAATTTGAATAGCTGGGCACAGAGCAGACAAGTAATAAACATTTATTAAATGATACACTACATTTCAGAAGTTTTAAAAAGTTCTTCGTATTTAAGCAGCCTGGTAAGTTCACAGTTTTTAAAACTAGCTGCTGTGTAGTGATAGTAATTGTAACTTATCTTTTAATTAAAAAGTTAATACTTTTAGCCAAACTAGATATTTTATTCCAGGCAGTATAATTGGAGGCAACATAATTAGTTTCAGTGCTCACTACATTTAACAAAATGAGAGAATATTAATCTTTTAGTATTAGTCACTGAAATTTGCCTTCATATGTATGTACACCTCAAGATACTGTTACAATTTTTCCTTTTTCAAATTTTTATTAGTACATTTGCAGTATATAATGATTGCAATCATTGTTGTGAATTGGAATATGCACATAACACTTTCAATTCTTTTTTCCCTTTCCCTCCTCCCTGTATTTTGCATCATCAGATTCATTTACTTATAAATCCTTATAAAGTTAATTATCAAGTTAATTATCCTACACACAGATTAACAGCCAGGCTAATAGGCCAAAAACCCTTCAAACAATTAGGCTAATTCAAGGTACAATCTTATATACATTATGTTGTATTAAATTTTGATAATTAGTAGTAGTCACTATTACCACCACAGGAAAAGTTTCATTATCACATCACATATAAAGTCCAATTTGCCTTCCAGAATTGAATAATTTCTACATTATAATTAAATTAACATTTTTTCATTAATTCACAAAGTGACTATACCATATTTTCAAGTCATTTCTGCCTCCTAGAAGTTAAAAAATGTTGTGTTTAATATTTATGGAATTCAACAGAAAAGTGAAAAGCATAAAAAGGTACTACCCAACCAATTAATCTGTTTAAGGCATGAAGTCCTAAATCTACAATCATTTGGATTTCGAACCTGCAACTACATTCTATCTGAAAAACCAAAATGCATGCTGTCTCCTCCTCCAGATATACAGGTTTTTGACATTTCATAGTCAACCCAGCATTTCATAGTGTAACTCATTATCAAAGACTGAAACAACGGTAAAGAGGAAAAGGTTTCATCAACCAAGAAAATAATCCAAAAAAATTTAGAACACAGAGTATCTAAGTATCACTTGAAAATAGCTATAAACCTATGAACTCTGAAACTCTGACTATAGGAAATAACTCACAATAGATACATTCTAATGGGTGGAACAATCCCCGATGATCAGATTTTTTCAACTATAAATCCAAAGCCAATATGCCTTTTCTGTTAAATGTCATCCTTAATTATTTACTCTGAGCTGGTCGTGCCACACATCTTTAATTCCAGCACTCAGCAGGCTGAGCCAGGGGGATCACAGTGATTGAAGGCCAGCCTGAACTACATACCAAAACCTTATCTCAAAAACCCAAACCCAAATTCAAAATAAAAACACCACACAAAATTAATTCTTTATTTTTCTTTTACTCTGAAGGCCAATGGCAGGAGCCTCTGGTTAGTTTTGTTTTATTTTGTTTTGTTTGTTGGTTTGGTCTGTTTTTCTTTTGCAATTATAAATTGTAATGTGAGCTTAATCTCTAAAGTTAAGTCTTTGACAAATCTTTGGAAATATTTATTAAACATTTGAAAAATTATTTGGGTGTTTTGTTTTGCTTTGCTTTTCATTTTCTCTTATTCTTTCCTTTCTTCTTCCTCTTGGTACCCGCCCAGGAGAAGATATTTTGAGCCAGAGCCAGTGTGGGTTGGTTTGTACAGGCCACTTGGCAGGACACATTCTCTTCCTCCCATATCTGCCATAAAGAATACGCAGCATGACTGATCGAGCCTACAACTTGACAGCGACAGAGCTAAATTTAACCAGCTGTTTTTCAGATGCCCTGATGATTTACTGCTCAACCAACAGAACAGAAAGTGTCCCAATGACCACAGGTTCAAAGTAGACCATTCAAGGCTGAAGTGACCAGGAAAAATGCTATTTGCAAGTATTGTTATTTAAAATCTAAATCCAATATTTACCTTTATGCATAAGAATTTGAGTATACTACTGTGTACTGATAAGTTTCTCCTTTCATACACTTTGAAAATAATCATTTGTATATAAGCTTTGGGTTCAAGAATGTATTATATTATCTCCATTATTATCCATCTGGCTTCTTATTCTTTAGACTCATCTTCAAAGGAAAAAGGAAAGCTCTTAATACCATAAACCTAAAATTGTCTTCAACTTCCTATTCCCTTTCATTTTTGTTTGTATAAAATAGGAAGGATATCATTAAGAGACTTTTGTTTTGTACATGTACAAATATGAAGCCTGCCTTATGAATATGCAGGCAAGCTAACATGTCCAGTCAGTTCTGTCCAATACAACTTCTGCAATGATGGGAATAACCCTACTCAGCACTGTCCAATATGGTAACCATTAGCTATTTGTGGTTACTGAACATTGAAAATGTAGCTATTGTAACTAAAAATCTAAATTTTTGTTATTTTAACCAGTTTCCTTATTAGACAGTCAAGTCCAGAATGTGTGACTTGAAGGGTATCAACAGTCCCTCTGTCTCCTATTTCTCATGACGCCTATGTCTCCATGAGGTGAAACTGCTCCTGCAAGCAGTGGAATGCAGAATGGAATTAAAACTGTGCCAGAGTTGCATACACAAGTCCACTCTATTGAATTACAGAAAAACAGTTTCTGCAGGTGTAGGCAGAATCTCCAGGCCTCTCAGAGTCAGAAGGCTGGAGATTCAAGCTTGGAACAAAGAAAGCAGGAGCGTGGCCAAGATGCTGCCACCAAGAACAGTCTGTCTAGGATGCTGTTGCGGACCTTTTCACCACTGGATGCCTGCTACCATCCTGCAGGATTGTGTTGTCCTTGGTCACTGCTGGCCATAATCACTCAACTCCAAAATGGCCACTTCTAATAATTTTATATAATCTGGTGCCACTGTATCACCTCTTTTTAAAAATCCACCTTTTGGATTTATAGATTCTGTCTCTTCTCATTTAGGGCAAGCAAAGACATTGTTTCAAATGAAAAATTCCAATATATTTTCAGAAAGGTTAACATCAATGCCAACTGTAAATCAATGAAAGCAAACTCAGAATGATTTGCTATAACATAGGATTTTTTCTTTAACTTTTCCGAATAGCTGAAGTATACTATCAAATTATATAATTATAATGTGATTACAATTAGCTGTAATTATATGTAATTGAACATTAAGTTATAATTTATAATTGCCTTGGTTAAGTTCATGGTTGATGCTATTTAATCTATGAAAAAAAGATCAAGAAAGCTACACAGCTTGGTGTGTGCCTGCCATCTAGTGACAGGACACAGTAACACTACAGTAGAAATCCTAGCGAGCTTCAAAGGCTAGGTCTGCCAGAGTTAGCTTCACTTCACAAATTTCCCCATGTGTTAGCCCAATCAACTACACAACAAAACATCCTTAGGCCTTTGAAATGATCTTTCACTCCTGCACTTCCATCCCAGGTTAATTTTCAACATAAATCTTTGAAAGCCAAGCCGTATCTGAAACTTATTTCATTCCCACATTCCCTATGGTAAAATCCCTAAGTCAGCTTTTATTTTACTTGTGTCCACAAACATGTGGCTTGAACATGCCATTCTTCTCCTAAAAAGAATATATTGATCATCATAAATGTGAAAATACAAGTTGCTGATGTCAGAGATTGCTGCTTTCTAAATAATTTTTTTTCAAAACAGGGATAAAAAGAGGAAAGAGGATTTTTTTTAAAAAGAAATTAAAATGTGTTATGTACATGTATCAAATCCACACAAGGAGTATAAACACTATGTACATGCAAACATGCACTAATGTACTAATGAAGAAAGTGGAGAAAAAATAGAAAAGAATGAGAGTGGCTTTAGCAGCATTTTCCCAGATGTGTCTAATAAGGCTGAGACAGTAAATAGGAGTATATTCATAACTTGGCTTCACTCCTTCCAATACTTCTGGAATTTAGCTACAGCATTAGTCAAGTGTCATGCCCTGCTGGCCACATCTACACAGTTCTTCACAAATCTGGGATCAATAAAACTGACTTTATACATCAAAGACACCTTGTTACTGTAATGTTTCCCTCTCTTCCAAAGGGAAGGAGTAAATATCAAGCAACTGACCTAATAAATCTAAAAAAGGTAAATGCTATGGCTAAAATGTTGAAATGAGGTTGCCATAGCCACCATGGAGGGAGATCTGTACTCTCAACAGACAAGGTGAGTCCTGGCTTGGTTGACATTCATACCACAATTCATACTTGCAAGGAAGTAGGCAGAAGTTTTAATATGGATCTGGAAGCAGAGGATGAGCTGTATTAACTTACCATGGAAGCAAGATAAGGTTGAGCTAAGGACAGAAGGGTCTGCAAAACGGGTTGGAAGAAGAAAAAAGGGTGAAGGTTTCTTTATGCAAGTAGGATCTGACCAAAGAAATTTTGATAGGTGAATGACTTTGATAAGCTTCTGAGTGAATGGAACACCCAAGCTAGGTGGAGTTATGGCCATTAGGACCTGCAGGGACCCGGTGAGGGGCTCTTCTCCCTTCTCAGCTGAGTCTGTCGCCCTCCTCTTGCCTGGCTGCCCCTTTTCTCTTCTTTCCCCTTTCTGCTGACTCTCTTCTCCATTAAGTGGCCATCTTCATTTCATTATGCTTGTATTGAAATAATTTCTTATAAATACTGAACATCTAAATTAAAATTGGTGAGTTGAAACTTCTACATTCTAAAGTGTGTCTAGTAAAGTTTCTTCTTGTCTACGACCTTTTCACTGTCTTCCTGTTGATGCATGCACCTAAAGAAAGGAGAAAGAATCAAAGGCTTTTGATTCCTAAAAATAAAAGTTATCTTTCCACTCACATCAAAGTCTGGAATCTGAAGATTGGCTACTGAGCAGACAGCTAACATTTGTGCATGCATGTTTATGCCTGTCTAATTAGAGGCTGTAAAGATAAATCCTGTCATTGTGTAAGTTCAGAGACCATTATTCCTCTGCTAGACTTTCTTTTTCTCTTTCTTTTTTACTTTTTATTTCTTTCTTTCGAGTGACTATACTTAGATAACTCAGTAATAGTAATAATCTCAGAATGGCAAAAGGTTGAAAATATGCCACAAACATGTTTGTAAACATGAACAATTAACATTTTACATGACTGATTAAAATGTGCCCACTATCAAAGATGTTACGCTTGTATATTCTTCTGAAACGCTACAGTGTGTAAACTGCAGAACGCTCTTCACCTTCTGACCTAACGCCCTGTGAGGCTGTTAGAAGAGGCACAGGGCATTCGTTGTAGCATCTAAGAAGCAAAATTAGCAGATTCTCTGGGCTTTCACTATAGGGAATTGACCCCTTTTTATTCTGTGGTCTCTCCCTACCCTGAATCATTGAGTAGCTCATTTTGGGGAAGGAAATTCAACCCTAATAGGGACGTTTAGTTCTGGTCCTTAGTCTTATTTATTTATTTATGCTGGTATTGGGCCTCACACGTGCTAAGCATGGTTTATCACTGAGCTGCATCCCCTATATGCCGATTAGAATCACAAGATTGGTTTCCATGGGAAAAGCTGAGGTTTTTAAGGCGATATGTTATAGTAATCTACTCTACAGGACATGAGAAAAGAATTCAAATGCTGTGTCAAAACAGTGATTCAGTGGGGCAGAACTTTTCTCATTTCGATGATTTAAAGTCCCACAGAAACTTGACTGGTATTTTCTATGCTTTATTTAAGCAAGTGAAGAAATTGCGTGTGCGCGCACATGCCTGTTTGTGTGTGTGTGTATGCGCGCGCGTAGCTATTTTAGGAGAGATTAGCTTGCTGTTTAATCCTGTCACCGACAGATAATCCCAAAAACATGGCTTAATTGATTTGACTTAATTCCTGTAAAGTAGAACTTTACACATGGCTATGAAGTAGTTTTACTCAGTAGGACTGCTGTGTAGTGTAAACACATAAATTCTCTAAGTTAATTTGTGCCCTTTAAATGTACTAATTATGTATAATTCATAGACACACTACCTACATGGACGTAGATGTTTCTCTGTTCAATCAGGTGAGTTCATTATCAAATGAAGCAGAAAAAAAAATCTTAGAAGCATTCATATCTTTTGTTCGTCAATTATAAAGTATAATTCAGGAATAAACATACTGAATTGTAAATTAGTAAATATACCGATGCCTTCCGGTATAGTAGCAACCACTTTAGAATAAGCTACCTGCTAAGTTTTGTCACAAAAGAAAACTTCATAGTGAGGGACGAAGGGGACGGCTGCACCAAAAGAACCACCCGCTCTTCGAAGGGGTAATGGAACGGAACTCCTATTACATAATTTAACAGAAGTCTTAAAATGCTCCAAGTGACGTGTTCCTAACTTCGGTGGTCTCTGGGTTCACAACTCCAAGGCTGCTTCTCCCCGCCGCAGCTCCTTCCCGGCAGAAGGCGGCCTGGAGAGCCCCGAGCGCGCGTCTGCCCGGCCCTGGCAGCTCAGCCAGCCGCGACCCCCGGTGACCTCCGCCCTCGCCGGCGCCCGCCAGTGCGCGCTAGCCGTCTTGCTCCGAGGCGGCGGCAGGCCCCGGCCTCGCGCCCACAGGCTTCCCAGCCAGGCGCGGGGTGGAGGTCGGGGTCGGTCCGCTCTGACTGAGGGGTCCCGACTCGGCTTCCCCGCCCCGCGCGCCGGCACCCTGCGCGCCCTCCCGCTCCCCACCGCCCGCGGCGCCGGAGCCTCAACAGGGTCCCCCAACCCCCAGCCCGCACCCAGGGGCCCGAGCCCCCGCCTCCGCCGGTTTACCCTAAATCCGGGGTCACACGCGGGGGCGGCCGCGCCAAGGCGAGCGCCCCGTGGCGCCTGGGCAAGAGGCGCGCGCGCGCGGGACGCAGCGTCCCCAGAAAGCCCGCCCGGGGGCGCCACGGCCACGCAGGGAGGGGACGGCGGGGGCGGAGCGCAGCCTCCGCCGCCCTTGCCGCCTCCCCGTCCTCCCTCGCAGCCGCCGCCGCCCGGCCAAGGAGCGGGAGTGCGCCGCGCCGGTTCGCGGCTGCGGGATGGGGACCTAGCGCCACGGCGGCCGCAGTGGCCGCAGCGCAACCGGCCGCCGCCCCCGGGCCCGTCCCGCCGGGGGCTCCGGGCGCCGCCAGCTCTTTCCGGAGCCAGGCCCGCGGGCGGCGGCGGCGGCCGAGCTGGGCAGGTGGCTGCGGCTGGAAGATGGCGCCCTCGGGCCCGGGCAGCGTGAGGCGGCGGTGCCGGCGGGTGCTGTACTGGATCCCGGTGGTTTTCATCAGCCTGCTGCTGGGCTGGTCCTACTACGCCTACGCCATCCAGCTGTGCATAGGTGAGCGGCCCTCCCCGACAGAGCCCCGTCCCGCCCCCCGCCTCCCGCGCCCCGCAGCCCCCGCCACCATCCCGGGACCCAGGGACCCCGCCGCGCCGCCGACGCCCGCCCTTCTCCCGGGGCGCCCCCAGCTGCGCCTCCGCCGGCCGCAGCCGAAAACAGCCTGGGGCAGCCTCGCTCCACTCGTGCCACCCTTGCCTACCCTCGCAACTCTCAGGTGCAGTGTCACCTCCACTCCAGACGGGCACCCCTCTGCCTTCCTCCGGCCGCCAGCGCCCAGCCACACCCCCTGGATGGGCGGACGGCTGCGGGACGACTGTGCTCTCCGCCGCGGGAGGCTGCGGTGGAGGCTGGAGGGCTCTGAGCTGGGCCCACGATCGGAGCTACGCCAGACCCGCTCGGGGATGCTGGTCTGGCCTCCAGTGCAAGGGCAAGATCTCTTTCCGATTGTCAGATTGTCACGAAGGCACTTTTTAACGGTCGGTGACAGCAGTCAGGGGCGTCTTGGCTTCCTTTATGATTCAAGGATTGCCAGTTGGATACTTTCTAGTTTAAAGAGAGGTGGAGGGATAAGCTACTAGAAAGTATTTTCGAAGACATAAGCAATACACAGGACCATAATTGAGGTGTTAGAATAATAGGAAGAAGGGGGAGGGTGGCTAGCATCTGAGGTTTCTACACCCAGAGAGCCCAGTGGCTTCAATCCAAGTTCTAGGCTCCTGAATTGGTGAGTAGAGTACTTTCAAAGCTGAGGGTTTTCTTTTCTAACTTGAATACGCACAAGTAGGGAATATTGTCTTGCTGCTTAATGTAAGCTGGCTCCTGTCTTCAGAGATTTGTGAAAGCCGATCTAGGTTATCCAAAAAAAAAAAAAAAAAAAAATGTTAGGATGACCTTTCAGCCAGTGATTTGTGAAGGTTTTCTGTGCTTGGCCATCTACATACCAACACGTCTGTTTTTGCCCTACCAAGCAGTAGCCCTGTGAGGGGCTAGGAAAAAGATTAAATAGTGGCCTATTTAGTTAAACCTTTGCAATTTAGGCATTTTTCGATGCTTCACGATTGAGATGTAGAATCTTAACTGAAGCCATCTTGACTCAAAATGTTGCCCCTGTGAGAAAGTGTCAGAATAATACACCAAAATAACTACTGACGTAACTTTTAAGAGAACTGAGACAGACTTTTCATTTTACATAGCTTTTAGTTTTGAAATTTGCTATTTTTGTTGGACTTAGGGACCATCTTTTAATTTTTAAAAAATGAGTGTTGTAAAAAGAGAAGATTGGGTTGCATCGACATCTTCCTGACAGCACATACAGATTATGATATCCCGGTCATGTATAATGTGTAAGAGAGGGGTATGCGGGAAGACACATAATTACATTTTCCCATTAACAGTTAATATTAAATCAGCTTGTCTTATTAATATATATAATATGTTATGTAACTATTAGGGGCCTTTGCTGTATTTTGCTCTTTGACTTCTTTAGTGAAGAGTAGCAATTGATGTAACTGGTGCAAAGCAGGGAAGTCCCAGTCATTCATTATCACACTCGCTCATTATTATCACATTAAGCTGAGCCGTTTAGCCAGGCACAGTGTCCCATATCCATCAGGAGGAAGCATTTGCAGGCAGATTTTCCTTGCCCTGTTACCAGGTACAGGTACCAGGTGCCACCTAGGAGGTCTTACTGTATTGCATAAATGGTATTTGGAACTATGTAATTACCAAACTGATCTTATGTCTTAAACATAAAAAATACATATATCTTTAATTTTAAAGTCACAGCTGGATGGTATTTTTATAAGTGATAGTTTGGTTAACAGGGAGACTGCCTCTCTTCAGTAACTGGTACTTGCCTGGGGAGCCTCAGCAGAGTCTCCTACCATTCCTCGTTACTACTTAACTGACTCACAACTCGCAAATGCTGACCAAAGTGAAAGCAGCCAACAGATAGTCTTGAACAGACGACTGAGAAGCAATATCTCCTGCGTTAACAGAAAGTTTTTATATTTTTTATTGCTGTAAAAAAAAAAACCATGAAAGAAGCATTCACTATGAAATACACAGATGAAAGAGTTTAGAGGGCAGAACAAGTGGGAGATGAATGTGATTCTAAAGACTGTGGCAGTGTAGCAGGTGGCAAGCCTTGCCTAGCCTTGATTGGGTTGGAAGTTGACATTAGCTGCGTGGTTCCCTCCTAGGCACTATGTGAGTGAAGTACAAAACCAGCCTCTTCTGCTTTTCCCAGACAAAGAGAATGAAAATGCCTGCCCCCACCCCAGTCTCTGGATTAATCACATCTCTGCTGCCCTTCCCTTGTACTTTTTTTCCTCTTGAGAGATGCTATTTGTAATCATATTTTTCAAATATCTCATATAAAATATTGACCAGGGTCAGGACCAGAGGATGTGGGTCAGGGACTGTGAAGTGGTAGGTAACAAATAGAATTGAACAAACAAGGTAATTTAGCCTGGTCCTCCTCCTACCTCAGCTGTCAGCCAAGGATGACCCTGAATATAAATTGCTCTGTGGCCTTTGTTGAATGAACTGCAATTTAGGAGTAGTGCTTATCCTGGTATCCTTGGAAACTGGAGATAATGATTCTCATTATGCTTAGTTTCTATATTTAACAAACATGCATGTATGTAGCTCTCTAGGCACTTTTTTTCACTTAGCATAATTTCTGTTTAGTGTTTGTATTTTAAGAAAATAATTCACATTTTTGGAATATATGTATATATAAAATATGTGGGATACAGATAAGAGTTCTTTCAGTTGAGTCTGTTTCCTCTGCTGCCAAAGAAAAGATCAAATAGGACTGTTAAACTTGTAATCATTTGAACAGTGTTTATCTTGTTTGTTGATCAGTGAGGCCCTTTTATTCCTATTACCCTTCCGTCCTATCTTTTCCTTCCCTTCTTCCTTCTCTTCCCATCCTACCCTTCTCACTACTGTTGGCTTCTTTGGTGTTGTACATGAATTTGGTCCATTTAATTATGTACTAGCTTATTTTTCATAAGATAAACTCTAAGGGTGAAATTTGCAAAATGGGACTTTAAGATGCAGAATTGTAAGAGTAAGGATGAGCCCAACATGTTTCATTCAGTGGACAGACTGGCTTATAAGCATTACAAAAACATTATGGCAGTTATTGTATTAACTTTGTCAAAGAAGGTAATTGAAGTATTTCCTTTTAATTGGCAACATTTAAAATTATTTTAATTTTTTAACTTGTTATGATTTCAAATTCACTGAAAACTTTCAAGAATATTATAGGGAACTTTATAGGGAACATAACCTTATTTAATCATTTCAGTTTCAGTTTTTCTAAAATTTTATTGCTTCCCTGCACTTACCTTGGGAAAATGCTGTGAGACATTTATTGTGTTGTATATGCATATAGTTCTGGGTTTGCTTATGGTTTTTATTTGTTTGTTTTGTTTTGTTTAGTGAGACAGGATCTTACTGGATAGTTGAGGCTAGCATCAAAGCCAGTATATATATAGCTCAAGCTACATCAACTTGTGATCCTCCTGCCTCAGCCTCCTGAGTGTTGGGATTACAGTTGTGCACCATCATACATGGCTTGCTTATGGTTTTAAGTCATTTCAAACAATCACAAAGTTTGAAAAACTTAGAGGTCATGTAGACCAACCCTCACCTGCATTATTGGTGACATGGTTCTGTATTTAAGAATTGCTAAGATTTGCTAATTTCTGTATCTTGTCTCCAAGTTACCCAGTGGAAATGTCATTTATGATTTTTGATACTGTGCCACAAATATCAGAACGTTCCCTTTTCCACCAAACCCCTCACCAGATAACTTAGCTTGGGGCGGCGTTGTGCAAGTCTTTTCCAGCTCCTGCTGCTGCCCCTCTTCTCCCTCCTCCTTCCTTCTTCTGTCCTGTCCTCTTTTGTCTTCTTCCTCTTCCTTTTTTCTCTTCCCTTTCCCCTTCTTTCTCCTTTTATGTGAGTTAGCACGGCTCCGAAAGTAAGCTAGTAGCCTTTACACAGAGGTTTCAGAGTTTTTAGGAGGCTGTATAGTTTGGTTCAGGGAGTACATCTTTCTTGTTTGCAAGTCATTATGATCTCTACTGGAACTACTCAACTCTGCTGTTATAAAGAGCAGCCTTAGAACATATTTTAACAAACGGGTATGGCTGTATTCCAACAAAACTTTATTAACTTACATAGTTGTTAGACCAAATAGTTTGGCTCTTGGGCGAAGTTTGCTTACCTTTGAAGCGTTTGTTAGGATATTGAGAATATTGAGGCTTTATTCACAGTTTTGCAATCTGTTAACATTCCCCAGCAGTGACTGCAACTTCTTATAAGCCACAGTGTTTACTAGAGATGCTTAAGAATTGAAAGAAGTAATCCACATACTTAGGGATCAATTTGAGGCACATATAATCACACTTTCTGGGTTTTTTAAAAATGAACAACCAGTGTCTAAAGATAAAATGCATATGTAACACTTCAACCTTAGATTCTGTAAACCTCTGACCTATCATTCCCCTCAAGCCCGTTTCCAGCTCAGAAGTGGAGACTGAAGGGCTTTAAACTGCCTTCTAGCATGAAATGAATTTGAGTCACACAGAAAAAAGAATTTTATTCTTGTTAATGGCAAACTATCACTTTATAAACTATGCAGAAGATTTAAGCTTTCTTTTCAAGAGCTGATAATCTTTGTGATACATATACTACTATATGTTACTATCTGTAAGTACTTAAATAGTTCATAGATGGGTGTGGTGGAGCACACCTATAATCCCAGCATTTGGGAGGCTGAGGCAGGAGGATTGTTGCACATTGGAGATCAACATGGGGTATAAAGTGAGCTTAAGGCCAGCCTGAACTGCATATTGAGACCCTGCCTCAAAAATAAATAAATAAATAAATGGTTCAAAACCAAATAGAAAGACTGTTTAGAGAAATCTGTTATCTGAAGAAAAATGTTGCATACAAAACATTCTAAATTACTTAATCATTTTATTGGCAATGATAATATAAAATACATTAATTCCATGACTTTTCTAAATATTCTTCAAAATTCACTTGTGTTATGTGAACTTATAGTATGTGGATCAAAGGATTAAAAATTTCAATATTTCTTCAGGTCTAAAATTCAAATGTATAAAACATATTTTCTAAATTCTTGATCTGTCCTGTCTTTAGAGCTGAAAATAAATGGTTCCTGGGGTAGAAGGAAGGACTTAATTTTTTCTTGGTTTCATTTAATATGAGAGAATTGTTTCTCTTTTGATTAACTATATAATGCACCATTACTAATTACCATTAATTCTTATTAGAGGTAACATACATGGAGCAGTTAAGATAATCATAGCTCAATTTATGTTAAATGAACTAATCTCTCCTCCTCTTGTCTCTTTTAAACCCACTTGTGGCATGAAAACATTCAATTTTATAATGGAAATAAATGAGAGAATGGAATCTAATGGAATTCAACTTAAACTAAAGTTTGTTGTTTAAAAAAAAAGTCATCCATTAATGAATGTTTGCAGTAATTAGACACAAACTGAAAGGATGATCTTTTTAAGCTAAGACCATTGTCTCCAGGAAGGTGTGCCCATAAGGGTTGGGAAAACTCAGCTTCTGAAGCTTGGCAAAGGCTCATTCAAAAGCATTTACAGTATTGAACCCTTGCTTGTTATATGCCAAGTGTTTTCCTCTACAGAAATGATTTAGAGAAGAACTTAGAGATCCTCTCCAATAGCCAAGAGAAAATGGCCTGTGAGTGAAAAGCACAAAACATGAACCTCTGCCAGCTTGGTCACGGCGCGAGGAGTTG